TGTAAAACATCAGAGTAATGCATGATTTGACCCTTAACTATCCCTATTTCTGCTAACAAATGCAACACATACTTCTGTTGAGATAGAAAAATACAATTTTGCTCCATAATACCTCAATCTCCAAGTAGCACTTCAAAGCACCCAAATCTTTAGTGTTAAACTATTTTTAATAGATGGTTTCAATGATAAGATTTCATTTGAATCGCTTCCAACAATAATAATATCATCAACATATACCACCCAAAAACTGTTCCTAGAAACAAATTTCTTGTAGAATATAGTGTGATTTTCTGCATCCCAAACTCTTCTACTACCTGACAAAATCTTCCAAACCATGCCCGGGAGCTTTGTTTCAGTCCATATAGTGACTTTTGAAGACAACATAATTTCTCAGACTCCCATTGTGCACAGACCCAAGAGATTGCTCCATGTATACCTCTTTTAAAAGATCACCATGCAAAAATGTATTCTTTAAATCAAGCTGATGTAAGAGTCAATTATTCATTGCAATAAAGGTTATGAAGAGTAGAATCAAAGTCAACTTAGCTACCGGAAAGAATGTATTCAAGTAGTCAATCCCATACTTTGGGCTAACCTTTAACAATCAATCGAGCTTTGAGACGAGCAACAAATTCATAAGACTGAAACTTAAAAGCAAAGACCTATTTACAACCAACAACTTTCTTGCCAAAGAGTAATAAAACTAGTTCTAAAGTTTCATTTTAAATTAAGGCATTCATTTCATCAAACGTTGCTACCCACTTCCCACAATGGGATTGAGCTTAAATGAGTAAGTTGTAGATGATAACTGATCATAGTTAACATAAGAGAAAATGGGATGGATGCATTGACATTTACTCTTTGAAGAGAATTAGATAACTCAAGGTCACTAGTATGATACCCCGGTTCTTTCCCCGAAGAAGTTGAAGAGAGGAAGTCCAAGAGAAGAGGAAGCGAAGAGTTGAAAAGAGGAAAATGAAGCGAGAAGCCGAGAAAACGAAAGGATATTTTCGCTCTATAAAGAGTTGCAATCCGATCGACTTACTTGTAGAGCGGCGCGTGCAAAGGAGAGGAGGACGTGCGTCTAAGGCAAGAGTAAAAGTGAGGGCAGGTACCTTGTGAAAGAAGAAGCTGACCAACTCAAGTTGCAGCATAAGACATCTTTGCCACTGTAGGGGAGAAGCTATAAGTACAACCTATGCTCGGTGAAACCCGAGCCCTAAGCCGAAGGAGGAGGATGAGGCAACGTCGTATGCATGTTGAGCCGCAATTAAAGTAGCAAAGAAAGAAGGGAGCCCTTGTGCATATAAATTGGATCCCATGTCCAGAGTGGAAAGATGAGTTTCTTGCATGGATTAGGGCTCGACTGAGATTAAAGTTAAATTTAAATAATTTTAAATTGAATTAATAAGAATATATAT